CTTAGTACATAATTGGAATATAGTAAAGTGTGATTATTGGTCTCTTAAAGTACCTAATTGCAATCTTGTGAAAATTTGATTATTATTTAATTTTGGTACATGTGGATAGATGGAACTTTGGCCTCAATTTTTAGAATTAGATTATGTTTTAATAATTTTAATTATATTTTAATTTAACTTATGGGTAAAATGTGCAATTATTGAAAGTTAATAAAAAATTATTTCTTATACATATTGTTATGCATATATTAAATATTAAATAAAAGTAATATAAAATATTAAAATAATATAATAATTTATAATAATAAATAAATTACATGATAAAAATAATATGTATATATATATAAATATTTTAATTATATAGCTTAATTGATGTACATTTATATATATTAGAACTAGTTTTAAAAAACACATAATCTATCTATAAAGGTACAAGTCAGCGCACTTTATATAGTGTAATGTTGCACTTTATAAAATAATATGTTGCACTTTATAATGTAAACAACTTCCACCAAAATATTATGCAATATAAATCTATAAGACAGTTCTATATAATACTTTATTATCCATCACATTATCTATCCACAGAAAAATAAAAAAAAACAAACAAAAAAAAATATGCTAACGTATCAAAATTTTAGTATTGCACTTTTTTGTATCAATAAGTTGCACTTTATACATTATTACATTGCATCTTATAGCACAACATGTTGCCCCTTGTAAAACAACACGCTACACCTACCAAAGTTAGAACCAAAATTACAGTAATTATGCTTATCGATCAGATTTTTTTTAAATAAACAAAATAACCGAATATTTTTTCAGTATTGCACTTTTTCTATCAATAAGTTGCACTTTATACATTATTACATTGCACCTTATAACACAACATGTTGCACCTTGTAAAACAACACGCTACACCTACCAAACTTAGAACCAAAATAACAGTAATTATACGTATCGAGCATATTTATTTATTTTTAAATAAACAAAATAACCGAATATGACGAATTATATAATAAATATTATCAATCTTATTTTATTTATTTATACTTTTTTTTATGAAAAATGATAATATTTTTCTATATGGATTTTTATGTATTGGAATTGCACATTATGGTTATACGGATTGCACATAAATGTATACCAGATTGCACAATATCGAACGAGATTCAACGAACTAAAATTTAGTACGAACTTTTATATTTTTTATTCGTTGGTTATTATTATAATTTTTTTATATCGGTTAGTTCAGTATCATGTTATTTTTTATTTAAATAACCAAAATAAATAAAAAAACTATATTAAAAATATTAATTTTTATATTTTTATTTGTTTATTTAGATTATTGAGACAACAGAACGACCGAACTTCATTAAAATACTATTATTTATTATCATTAATTATTTTTTATGTATAAATATTCCACATGAAATGAAATGTTAAAATATTAATTATATTATGATTAATTACAAATTCACCAATAAACTTAATTTATTAAAAATCGTTGATGTGCAATATCATGTATTGTTAATGTGCAATATATTAAAATTTTGATAAATTGCAAAACCATCCACCTATTAAAATGCAATATAATAAAAGTTATGAAATTGTACAAATGCCCCTATAAATTGTCTAATTCTCATAACAAAGCCCCAACACCTAAAAAATAAAACAAATAATTAAAAAATAAATAAATATGTCATTACACGCACACGACATACACATATAGAATACACACACACACACACACACACACATACACACACACACACACACACAAAGTCAGCTGCAGTCGGCAGAGGCCCGCCTCAATCGCCTGGCCGGAAACATGTACCAGTCACCGGCAGGGAGTTGTCGTGAATGCCGGATCCACCGTGGTTCTCGACGGCATGATGTCGCCGGACTACGGCTGACTGGAAGACTGAGGTCGCCGTGAACGTCGGGCCGTCGTGGTGCTGACGTCGGACTACGGCTGACTAGACGACTGAGGCCGTCGTGATGCTCGACGGCATGGAGATCGCACCGGACGGCGACATCGAAGGCGGATGGCTGGTTGCAGAGATCTGGTAAGTCCGGCTCCGGTGGAGCTCTTTGTGGTGGCCGCCGTACGTGGCTGCGAGCTGCCTCTGTGTGTGTGTTTGTGTGTTTTTGTGTGTGTGCAGATGTGTGTCGGTGAAATGTGAGAAAGAGAGAGATGGATGGCGTGAGGAAAGAGAAAAGAGAGAGATGGGGTGAGGAAAGAGAAAACGTGTGATAATAAGGTGAGTGGGTCCTATGTGATATATGTGTATTGACCAACTTACCCTTAATTGTTGGTCAAATAAATATATTTGATCACAATGATAAGATAATTACTAAATTGCCTTGATTGACCATAATTTGACTTCATCAAAGTCCTTGATATGATTGATCCCATGGTCAAAATTTATTCTTATTTCTTTCATTATCTACCATTCTCATATGATCCCTTCTCTGCCTAGCTTAACATAATTATTTGGATAACTATAATATAACAACTAAATAAAGAATTCTTTAACTGACGAGATTCTTTCATTAATTAAAAAAAGAAAAGAAAAAACTAACTAAACAATCAGGAGCAGCGTCGTTCATTTTCTGAGCAACGAGAAAATGGAGAACACAACATATACTGAAAATATATAGAGTATAAACATTATACATATGAAAAATATACAATATATATTATTCTTATGATTTCCAATTCCAATCTTTCATACGAAAAATCCAAACTATACACACTCTAATAGTGTGCATACGAAAAAATATAAACAGTATATACAACTGCAACCACATAAACAAAAAAAAAAAAAGAAAAAAGAAGTATAAATATGCTACATATATACAACCTATATACAATTTAGTTTGGTCCTCAACTCAACTAAAACCTAACCACTAAATTCTCCGATGGCCTCCGCCGATAACCCCGCCGCCCCTGACCACTTCAATGAAGACGAGGACCTCATCGACGACAAGGAATTCTCCGATCACGATGAAGACGATGACCTCCTCGACGACAAGGAATTCTTCGATCACGATGAAAACGACTCCGCCTCCTCCGCCGCCCTTGCCGTCGATCGCCCTTCCCCATCCACCTCCGATGCCCCAGTCACGATCACCCTTCGTCTCCTCACGCCGCCTTGGATAAACTATCTCAGTGCTCGACCCTCCGCCGACGGTGCCCAACACATCAAGTTCTCATTTTGTCAAACCCTTCCAAAGCCATGGAGATGACAGATCTGCGAGCCAGGATCTGGACTATATACACGTTCGGCCTTGGGAGTGGCGGGAATAAGGACCATCGGCCTCAACTTGGTGGAAATCAGCTTCAGTGATGCAATTTCAAGCCGCTAGTGGAGGGAGGATCGAGATTTTAAGAAGGGGGAAAAGGGTTTTTCTACCATCGGTGGAGGGACGGAGTAGTTATTTGGAATGTGATAAGTTTTTCACATTAATTACGCAGAATCTTGATTGAAGATGTAAATTAATATTTTTGTTGATATGTGGTATTTTTGCAAATAAAATCTATAGATTCTGTTAATTTGCTAATATTTATAAGGATGTTATATTTATGGAATAAAAAACTATATATATCGTACATGGTGCAATTTCTTCATTAGAGATCTCCAATTAATTTTTTTTTTTTTTAATTATCTTGGGGGACATGAAAAATATCTAGAAGTATTTCTTCATATAAAAATTATTCTAAGTAAAATAATATTAATTATTCAATTTATTTCTCTTCTCCTACCAATTACAATTATACACACAAATGATACCACAATTAACATTAACTACTGAATACATAATTTTTTTAAATTTCTTTCTCCATGCCATACAACAAAAAATAGACATTTTTGAAGCTCTATCCAAAACCTTCCGAACCGCCAGATATATAGAGAAATTCTATCACTTGTCATCATATTAGTATTTCTGAACCGCCTCATTTTCCATCTAGCCTTGGGAGCCTGCCCGTCCGCTCTTTGGTCTCGCGCATTCATTTCGACATCCATGGAGAGGGTCCGCTAGCCGGTAGCCTGGGGCGTTCCCTCCTTGGGTTTCGTCCTTTATCCCTCCGACGTTTCGTGGCGGCTCCTTCCTCCCGGTGTTGAAGTCTTTCAAAGCTCAGATCTGAACCAACGCTTGACTCCTTGACATATCTGTCTAGACGGTTCGATTTCGACCGCAGTTTTTGGGTCTGGGGTCTAAGTTTGTTGCTTGGTTGGTTTTTGTGTTGTGGAGTGTGTTTCGGTTGTAGGTTTGAGAGTTTGTTTGGTTGCCCGATAGGTTAGAGAAGATGTTACTTTATTTGTTCATTAGGTGTGCATTTGTTTTGTTTTTTTTTTTTTT